ATGTTGTAAACAAACCATTATGTATGTATCTCTTTTTGGAAAATACTCTGTATTTTGAAAGAGAAGCTCACTTGTAAAAAGCAGAAAGGTCACTTTAAAGTGGTCCTTAGATCCAGAAAAAAGCCTCTTGGTGCCATTAAGGAAATCGGCAGTTTATAGACCAAATTATTGGTTGCAAACAGTATAAACAATGGAATTTCTCAAATGGAAAAAGCAATTCAAGTCCTGGAAGTTGGCTGCCAAGGAAACTACTGACTGGAAAAAGACCAGAATTTGTACGCAGACTACCAGCAGCGTGATCACCTTGTGGTATTTCCTACCTTCTGTTGAAAGGGGGGGAGAGGAGGAGGGTAGCGAGTAACTTGGCAAGGCATCGCTTCTGTTGTAAGGAGGAAGGACTAGATCGTTCTCTTCAGTTCCCCAAAACTCTTTATTTTGAAAATGTTTAAGCCTTTTTTAAAAAGTGGTAAAAAGAGTACAATCTGTATACTCTTCACCTAGGTTCACCGGTAAAAACCATCTACGCTTACACTCGCACAGAAAGTCAGTCAGAACATTACAACATTTCGTCTCTAAATCCTGCAGCATGTGTTTCCTGAGAAGACAGGCTCTACCTAACCACACTGTTACCACACCCAAGAAATGTTCAATTGGCGCAATATCACCTAATATATCGTGCCTGTTAATAGCTCCCCCAGTTGTCCCAATAATGGCTTTTTGGCTTTTTTTTTTTTTTAATCTGCGCTCCAGTCAAGTTTCCTTCATTGCATTTGTCGTGCCTTTTTTATCTTCTTAAAAGAATAGCCACCCCCTGGGCCGGCCGAGTGACACATTGGTTAAGAGTTGGCTTGGGACGCCAGCTCTGAGCAGCAGTTCCCCAGTTCGGATCCCACATGAGGGCCAGTGATGCTGCGCCCTCTACAGCTAAGATGGTGAACAACAGCTCAACCTGGAGCTGGGCGGCTGTGTGTGGCTGGCAGCTGGCGTGAGCTGCCAAGAGCCGCCGTGAGCCGCCGTGAGCAGCCATCCAGTGTCCTGCAACCAATCTGCCTCACCCAGGAGGAGTGCAATGATTACAATATCAACATGGGCCAGTGAAGCAATGTCCTCCACAACTAGACTGAAGAACAAAAGGACAGCAACTTGTCTGTTTCTCTTCCCCTATTCCCCAATAAAAAACAATCTTTAAAAAAAAAAAAAAGAATAGCCACCCCGTTTTTTGTTGTTTTTTTTACTTTCATGTCATTATTTTTTTTTTTAAGACCAAGCAACTTTTCTTATAGAACATCCCACAATCCAGACTTACTTAACTTGCTGTTACGGTTATATCCTATTGAACATATTTGACAAGAAAAATAACTGGAAATGTTGTAGGCTTTCTGCTTCATCACATCAGGAGGCATATAACATCAGTTTGTCCGACTGCTGACAACACTCGGATTAATCACTTGGATAAGATAGATAATACTCATATTTTTTCATTGCAGAGGTATCTTTTTTCCTTATAATTTAGGAGAATGTAAGGTTGGTACTTTGAGACTGTGTGAACGTTGTCCCTCAGCAGCCTTGCCCCAGTGGTTTTAGCAGCCGTGGTCCTTGCCAGTTTCAGCGGGGGCTGCAAAACGGAGCTCGCCAAACCCTGCCTTTACGTCTGCATGTGTTAGCTGACTTCCACAAAGAAGAGCTCTGCCAACTTTCTTTTTCCTTTCTTGCCTTTTTTTTTTAATTACTGTGGACTCAGATTCTTTTTATCTGATCTATTATAGCCCGTTATTCTTTTTGATAGTCATATTTTCCCGAAATTGACCAGTGGAAGGTCCCTCAGACCATTTTCTCTCTCATTTTGCCATGTCTCCATTCTGCTTTTGTTCCCCTAACAAACATGTCCCGGAAATTACTCCCCATCATTTCCTTGGGGGCATCCCTCTTCTTTTTATAGCTACGTCATATTCCAAATATTATGTGAACATTTCATAGTTTATTCAGCCTGTAAGCACCCTGTAGGTACACATTTAAGTCATTACCAGTATTTTGCTGACAGTTAGGTTGCTGTTTATGTTTGTATATATGCAGCCTGTGCTCTTATGATAGTGTAAAGATTCAAATAAATTCCAACCTGTTAGACGCTAAGAGAGTATTTTACTTTAAGATAACATTTTTTTCTAATTATAAAAATAGTAATACACATTATTCATAAAATTTAGAGAAACAATCTGAAAATATATGGAGTTAAAAGTGAAAGCATCCCTTTATTCTCCTCCCCCAAACTGTTAACAGTTTGTTCTGTGTGCCTCAACTTTTTTTATGTTGTAGTTGATGGTGGTTTTGTTTAGCATATAAACATACACATAGGGCATATTTATTTTATGAAGGTGTAATCATGCTATAGATAATATATTACGACTTGGTGTTTTTACTTTGTATATCTTAGATACCCTTTTATGTCCATATGTATTGAGTTAACACATTCTTTTTAGTAGCTGTATAATAATTCACAATACGAAGTTACCATAATTTATTTAACCATCCCTCTGCTGATATTTAAATTATCTCCAGCTTGTCAGTATTATAGACAACAGCAGTTGATATCCTGGCGTATACCTTTACATATGCTCAAGTATTTCTGTAGCATAGATGCCAAGAGGTGGAATGGTTAATTGACTGCCATTGATTTACTCTTCACATCCTTACCATACCAAGTATTAGCAGTAGTTTTTGTATGTGCCATCTGATGGATAAAAAAAGAATGGTGTATATTGTTCTGTTTACTAATGAGATTGTTAGTCCATGTTTGTTGGCCACTAATTTCTTCTGACTGCTCAGTTGTCTTTGGGGGTTATTTTTTTTTTAATGGAGCTTTCAGATACAATATCCCATGCTGTCTGAACTTTTGTTGCCCAAAACTATAGATTTGAATAAATGTTCTGAGAAATCCTTTGCTGTATGTACCCTCACTATTCTCCATCCAAAATCAAGTTAAAAGATATCCCTCACTTTCCTAACTTGCCATCCAAATTCAGGCTCCCCCAAGTCAGGAGCCAAATAGAATGAGATAGTGGGAAGCTTGGATTCTCATACCAATCTTTGTTCTAGGTTACAAATTTTTTTCTCCCTCTGTGTTTGTGGTTTATCTTTTGACCTTGTTTATGTAGTTTTACACAATCAAAAGTTGTAAATGTTTATGTTGAACATGTTTTTCTCTACAGATTCTAGGTTTTGCTTTACTTAGATTGGCTTTTCTCATCAAGATTTTTAAAAATTTGGGCCGGCCGAGTGGCGCGATGGTTAAGAACTGGCTTGAGATGACAGAGGGCCCCGGTTTGGATCCCACATATGAGGGCCAGTGACACTGCCCTCTACAGCTAAGATGCTGCACAACAGCTCAACCTGGAGCTGGGCTGCCTGAGTTGCTGGCGACGGCGTAGGCTGCAGCCCCTGCTGCAGTGGGTTGCCATGGGCTACCGTGTGTAGCCAGCAGCCAGCATGAGCGGCCAGCAGCTGCTGTGAGCGGCCGTCCAGAAGCCGGCGACTGATCTGCCTCGCCCGGGAAGAGCGCAATGATGATGCCAACTTGGGCCAGTGAAGCAACATCCTCCACAACTAGACTGAAGAACAAAACGACAGCAACTTGTCTGTTCCCCTTCCCCCAATTCCCCAGCACTGTTCCCATCACCCCAATGCCCCAATAAAAATCTTTAAAAAAAAAAAAGATTTTTTAAAATTTATTTTCTTCTATATGATTATTTTTAGACACTAGGCTTTTTAAATACATGAAATGTATTTATGCATAATCAATTTTGTTCTCACATTTTTAATAATGTATCCCTTATCATTGATTTTAAACACTGCCATTATCGTATACCAATTCTTATATATATATAAGGATCTGTTCATGCGACAGTACCATACTGTTTTAATAAATATTTTGATACCTAGATGAGAAAGCCCCTGGTTCTTTTTCAAATATTTCTTGCTTGTTATTGCTTAATTTTTCTTCCAGGTACATTTTAAGGGGAAAAAATTGACTGTATCCATTTATGCTTTCCTAGTAATGTATGAGAATGTGCATTTTCCCAGGTCTGGGAGGAACTGGCCAGGGGTCTAGAGCCAAGGTTAAAACTTAAATAAACCTAGAAAAATTAAAGACACATTATCCTCTAACCTGGGAGAAATCTGATGGGTTTGTAATACCGTTAAGTGTTACCCAAGTGTTTGGTTAATGAGCTTTCAGTTCATTTCCCTTCATTTAGGTATGCCTCTCTCCAGTCTACCCTTTTAATCCATTTCACAAGTCATCCCCCATAATTTCATATTACACTACCTATGTACATCTTCTCATTCCTTGCCTTTCCCCTCCATCTCTCATCACCTCCAAAATTGTCTATCTGGGGAATCTCTTTTGTCCTTTAAAAACCCAGTTCATATATTACCTTTTCTGGAAAGTTTTTCCATGCCAGTGGTAAGAAGGTTGTTCTAACCTTTGTGCCTCATACTATTTATTCCGATATTAACATTATCAAACTTTGAGGTCAGTCAGTACGTATATGCTATATATGTGATATACAAGTATATGTCTTTTTTAAAAAACATTTTGAAAAAGAATAAAATATCCCTGTCTTCAGGGAGCTCACCAGAAAAGGAAAGGGAAAGCTTAAGATAGAAGAAAAATAGGTATGAAAACAGGAGAGCTTTTATATCCATTTTTTCCCCCCAGCATGACCAGGTGTAGATTTTATGGCTTACGCCCTATGCCTTAGATAATGTGCTTGTACGCAAACAGAGACATTCATTTTGACCCAGGAAGACATTTCACGTGGGACGTGGCACAAACAAAAGCAGAGACAGGACCCAGTGGGTCGTTATCGTGGGAATTTTAGAGGTGTAAGGAAATATACCAAGAAATGCGATGCGAAAGGCTGACTTGGGGAGCCGTAGCTTCCTGTGATGTGGAGCTGAGTTGTAAATGAACAGATATTCTGACTCTCTCCTTCTTTTCTTAGTACTGGATGAACGAGTACACCTCATCCATTGGAATCGGAGTTTTTCATTCAGGAATTGAAGTGTATGGCAGAGGTACGTGGACACACAGGTTCAGTACACTTTCTAAAGATTGTTTTTCCTTTAAAGGAGTTGCAAAATCATAACTACAGCTCTTCCTTTTTTCTTTTTTCTTTTTTTTTTGTTTTTTAACTGCTTCCCTATCTCATCGCAGAAAGTAGAAGAACATCTCCCATATTTGCTTATACCACAGTTTGGGAAAATGCCCAAAATTAAATGTATTAGGGGAGAAAGTACCAAAGTACATGAATGTACGTTCATTTAGTTATCTTTTATTCTAAATTCTATGTCTTTAAAAATATTCTCCTTTTGAGATTGTTATACCATGACAGTTTTGCTCTCATACATATTGGGGTTCCCAAGAAAACCTTGCACTTTGAAAAATAGTATGATTAAAAAAAAAGAAACAATCATTTTGGTTGGAAAAGGGCTGGTTCTAGAGAACGTCAAACTTGAAATGCCAGTTTCCTGAGGGAATTTCAGTAATTCGTTTTTGTAGACCGACGCGTGTATAGTTTTGAAGTTTTAAAATATCACTGAGCAAACCCTGCCCTTGATTACATTTAGCTTTTTGCTCAAGAATGATGGCCTTTGTATGAACTCAGCCCTTTTTATTCTTTATTACCCTTTATTATGATACACATAACAGGAGCCACTCAAACCTAACAGCTTTGTTGTCAGCAGCTTTTTCTTTTGTTCTGTTCCCACCCTTGGTGCAAGATACTTCATTCCTGATCAGGTTGATGCTCTGCGTCAAACAGAGCCCACCGCCAGTTTCACCAGGACTGTAATAATACATTAGTTTGAATTATACAGTCACCCTGTAGCAGAAATGCCTTTGTTCGCTTCAGCAAGGCAGACTGTGACCTCTTAGAATGGGTTACTGCCATTTACTTAGTTACCCGGAAGACTATGCACCAGCTTTCTCTAATACAACGAAAAGGCTCATTTACTAAGTGTGTCAGTCTGGTGTTTTTACTGTCCCTTTTTTATATTGCACGTTAATAGCATATTAAATGTCGCCTGTAAAGATCTGCTCCTTAAGCTCCATTTTAAGCTCCATCTGGAAGGCTGCGTCTACCAGATAATCCCCAAAAAGCCACGAGGCTCCTGCTGAAAGTGTCAGTAGTTAGAGCATTGCTATGCAGGAGGAACTGTGGTCTGGGGCTTTGCTTCCGTGTTGGACTTGGCTTTTGCCAAAGTTGTGTGTGTTCCTTTTTAACTGAATTTGTATGGTGCGTTACGGTTTTTAAAGTGCCATCAAGTTCTGAACCACGTCACCATGCTGCTGTGAGGTGGATAAGGGCATGTGGCATATTCTCCATTTTTCAGATGAAGAAACTGAAGCTGAAACCCAAATGTTTTTATATACTAGTCCATTGCTCTTAATATCTGCCTAATCATTGCTCCCCTTCATAAAATGATTTAGGAATAATTAGAAACATGGTTCACAACATAGCCCCGTAAACTTAGCAAAGCTAGGTCGAAATGTATTCCTGAAAGTGAATGATTGTTTCTTGAATAGAAGACTCAATGGCTTTATGACTTTCCTTACTGTAATTGAGAAAGCTAAAAATCCAAATACAATCTTTCCATTTTCAACCTGTTTCTCTACAATGGTTTATAAAATTTGATCATTAAAAAATGTTAATGTATGTTTCAGAATTGAACATTAAACACTTCATTTGTTATCTACATCATTGCTTTTTTCTGAAAAGTCTGAATCAAAAGTAAACTTAGTACCTGCTTTGTTCTTTCCTGTACTTTCTTCTAAGACCTTTTAAGATTATATTGAATGAGCTTTAAGTGATGAGATTCATTTAAACATTTGTTTGGAATTCTGTAAATAAATCCACTATGGTTTGCCACTTAAATATTTAAGTATCCCATATCAGAATCGTAGCCAGAAATTTTAGTTACTTCTGGATTTGAAACCATTCTCCATTTTTGTTCTGATGAGCGTAGAAACACATTTATTGTAGTGCAAGCAGTTCCCTCTTGGCTACAAGATTTGCTGTGGAGAGAGTATGTGAGTGGGTGTATGTATTACATTTGGCAGTTCCTTTTTTCTTGAATGAGGGGAATTGAATTCAGTTTTTCAGGTTTGCTAATGTTTCACTCTTATTCAAACATAGACCAAGAGTCTCAAACCAGCTACCATGGAAACTCCTCATTAGACAGTTTTTCCAGTCAAGTACAAGTTTGCAATTTGATCACTTTAATGTAAAAAGTGGCAAAACACTGAATTGACCACCTACTTAGGTTGACACGATAGATGCGCAGAGAGACTGGATTCACCTTTGAGTGTTAGTCACTCTCCTGCCAATATAAACAAAGTCAGTATTACCTTTGAGTGTCTTTCATTATTAGAGTTGCAGGTCTTTTGTGTCAACTGTTCTATACAAGCAATAGCTAAGTGAGGTGTTTGTGAAAGCATTAATAAACTGAAAAATATTTAGTATCATTATTATCCTCATTCATTCAAGCTAATTCAGAACTCTGGTTAAATTTTGTGTGATAAATACTAAAAATCATGAGTTTTCTCTTTTCAGAATTTGCTTATGGTGGCCATCCTTATCCCTTTTCTGGAATATTTGAAATTTCCCCAGGAAATGCTTCTGAACTAGGAGAAACATTTAAATTTAAGTAAGTAGGGAGGATAATTTTTATTACACTGTTGTAGGTGCCAAACCTTGTTTTCAGGCATACAGAATTCATTCTGTAGATTAAAATGCAGGAAGTTAAAATGTTTCTTTAGCATGGTTTTAGTTGCTGGCAGTTTATTTTAAAATCAGCGTTTGTCTAAAGCTGGGAATAGGCCAAATAAAATGCCTGAAGTAACCTAGTCTATTGCTTTTATAGAGGGACCCATATAAGTTATTCTGTGTACTTTTGAAATGTTTTACATTGGTATAACTCAGGCTCTGCTTTAGAAAACGTTCATATCTAATGATTGCTTCCCCCCTCAACCTCCTATCTGGGGGAGGTGGAGGAAAGGTTTATTGTGACCCACTTAACACTTAAAATCACTTTATTTTCCCAATGAAAGGGACACTGTTTATAAATTCCAAATAGTTAAACAGTTGATTATCCAGGAAACTGATGTCAAGGTACATGTATTACGTGTACTGATAAACCTAAAATGTCCGGATACGAGTGTTTCCTGGAGCCTTATGAGCAGTAAACAGCACTGAAAATTCAAACACTAATAATCAGATTTCCATTCCGTAATTAAGGCTTGTATTTAAAGTGATGTTTAGCACCTTAGTTTCAAGAAGTTGTAAAGAAACTGCTGGGCCTATGATAGTGAACTTGCCAAGTGAAAGGCAAGTAGTGAAATAAGATTGCTACACTGAGATTCAGGACAGGGCTGCACGTGTTGCTCACGCCTGTGTTCATGGTTCTGTGAGCCTGTCACCGAAGAGAAACACGGACCCGCAGGAGTGCCACAAGGACCATCCCAATCTGTTCCTTAGGCCTCCCTTTTGGCAAGACTACTAGAGAAAGGGCTTTCTGAGTATTTTCAGCTTACTAGGACGCCTTACTTGGATCTGACAAAAATTCTACCTTCTATTGAATAGTGTCTATTGCATTTCCAGGGTAGTAGGTGGGGTTCGGGGTTGGTTTTGGGGTGGTTCAGAGGTGGGGGGGGCTTAAAATACTTTTTAAAAAATTTAGTCGTTTGACATTCATCTCACTGCAGTACAGTGGCAGATAGCTTAAAAGATTATTTCTACAAGACAATATGGCCAGCCCATTTGATGGCAGGTGTAATTAAGCAGGAATATTTGAAGCTTTGATCTGGTTCTCTACTAATAGAAGTACTTATTCAAAAGTTGTAAAAATAACTCTGATATTACATTTTTTACTATAATGACATTGTTTTATAAAGAAAATGACTTATTTTGCATTTGTATTATTCAGACGTAGTGTACTTAAGAGTTTATTGCAGAAAAGTAGAAACTAAAATAATTGAAATTTTTTTAAGTATGTCATTTACCTTTATTTAGTCTTACTATGTTAACCCTGCTTTGTTACATCAATCATGCTATTCCTGGAAATAAGCAAACTTTTAAACATGCTTTTTATAAATACCTAAAACTCACATGGCTATGTTTTTTCTTTCTTTTTTTTTTTTTTCTTTTTGTTCTTTAAGAGAAGCTGTTGTTTTAGGGAGTACTGATTTCTTAGAAGATGATATAGAAAAAATTGTGGAAGAACTGGGAAAAGAATACAAAGGCAACGCCTATCATCTGATGCACAAAAACTGCAATCACTTTTCTTCAGCTTTATCAGAGGTAAATGAAATTTTGTCCTGAAAGTTCTTCAAATAAATAACAGTTCCTAGTATACTTGCTGTCCCTCTATATTTAACTGACTTTTTTTTCCTGATTCTTCATGTTGTATAAAATATGGTATTATTATATTTCTTTCTCTTGCCTGAATGACCTTTCTAAAGTCGGTGACTTTACAGTCAGCGCAACTTTTAGTTATATTCATGACGTTGCAGTGGGTAGGGAGTGATCACAGATCATTGTCTGTTCTTCTTCTAATTCATTTACACCCTGAAACTTCCACTTGAAAGAAATGAATGCCAAAGAGACTTCTGCTGCTCAACCACTAAGACTTCTTTTTTCCTAAATTTTAGTTGCCAACTTCAGGTTTTGTTCCTGGCTTTTCCTTATTAATAAGTAATTCACTTATCCTGTCTTGAAATTTGATTCTGCCAACTTATCACACAGGCATTTATTTCCTCCCTGATTCTTGAATCCTAAGCAGAAGACCAAAACTAGGTCAAAATGACAGGACCTTCAAAAAAAAAAACGGAAGGAAGAAAGCAAAAGATTATCACATAAGTTCTAGAAAATAGAATAGCGCTTGAACCAGCTTCCCAGCTTTCTGACTCTTAGCAGCTGGTTGCGGTGGCTGCACCAATGCTACAGAGGTTATGAGGGTGGAAAGAAGAACGTGAGCTGCTGTTTGCGTGGCCTCTGCAGGGTGCTTTGCTCCCTGGCCCTTTTCACTTCCCTCGTGGCCTCCACAGCATAGCTTTCAAACAGGACTATAGCGGACTGTTGCCATGCTTCCCGGAGTATGTTCCAGGGACCAGCGGCATCAGCCTCACATAGGAGTTTGAAATGCATCGTCTCTGCACCGCCACAGACTTACTCAACCAGAATCTCCGTTCTAACATGGTCCCCAGTGCTTCATATGACTATGAAAGTTGGAGAAGCACCACCAGTCTTGTGGGTGCGTTGACACCGTAGGGGTGACCTGGTTGATTTTCAGGGGTGAGGGAAGGTGGTTCAGAACTTCCCTGAACCTAAGCATTGTATTTGTAGGGAGTGCATTCAGAGATCCATAGAATGTTAAAACTGGCAGAGACGTTAGACAGCATCTTAATCCAGTCTCCTCATTTTACAGACAGGAATTGGGCCCTGATTGGAGAAATGGCTTATCAAAGATGGTTGTGGAGAACTCAGATTAGACCCTGATTCCCTGATCCAGTGCTTGTTAAGCTTTATCATGACTTCGTCTGGCTCTGAATACTCTCTCTCCCAAATAAGTGAACAGCTTTCTTGAGCATCTATAGCAGCACATCAACCCTGGTCTACCCTGAGACCACGTTACACTTGGAGCCCACAGAGCAGTTGCGGATGTCCCTGGGGCTGTCTTCATAGGTCACGGTTTTCATGGTCGCCCTGTATGAGTGCCGAGTTGTTAAAGAAACTGAGACTTGGTACTTACGTCACTTAACCAGCTCATCAGTGACAGAACTGCGACTAGCACTGTGGACAGCGAGGGATGTCAGGAGCTATTCTAGTAAACCCCATAAGATCAAGGCAAACAAATTTAATGATAGGTTCTCTGAAAACATGAATAAGTGTAATGTGCGTCTGCATCTTGGAGAGCATAGTTTGGAGATGTAATACTTCCAGTTGCAGATAGGCCAGATCATAGCTAGTTATAATTGATGGTTCATATATGTGCTCTGTTCAGCATTGTTCCAAAATTTCAAGAATTATCATCATTTAACATCAGAGTTACCAGTTTCGATGCTTCCTCTACAGCAGGGACTAGCAAAGCACTACAGCCTGCATGCCAACACCGGCCTGCCACCTGTTTTTGTACGGCCTACAAGCTGTGATGGTTTTTACATTCTTAAATCGTTAAAAAAAATAGTCAAAAGTATATACACAGTGATGTGTATAAATTATATAAAATTCAGATGTTAGTATCCATAAAGTTTGATTGGAACACAGCCATGCTTACTTGTTTACCTGCCATCTTGACTGCTTTCAGGCTACAGCGGCAGGTTCAGTAGTTGCAATAGAGACCGTCTGCCCACAAAGCCTAAAATATTTACCATTCGACCCTTTACAGATAAAGTTTGCCAACCCCTACTCTTCCGGTTCGATTTACTCGAATCTGACTCAGATTGGCTTAGACAGTGAGGCGGTGTATTCTCTCACAGAGGAGGAATCCAGAACGAGACCAGCCCGTTTCAGATGGTCAGTGTCTCAACAGTGCACGTCATCAGTGGCCTAAGGTCTTCCCCTGTCTCTGAGCTGCCATCCTTAGGAAGCTGGCTCTGCCCTCAGGTAGCTCCTTTGATGGTTGGCACGCACCATATCCAGATACAACAACATCCAAAAGAAGAAAACTCTGTCTGTCCCTTCAGTTCCCTTAGAAACAGCGAGATGTTTTTCTGGAACCTTCTGCCGTAGCCAAAGGCAGGCCATGTTTTATGGCCAGAACTGGATCAAATGCCCATTTCTTCTTTTTTTTCTTTAATTGGGGAATTGGGGAAGGGAAACAGTTTTGGGGAATTGGGGAAGGGGACCAGCCAAGTTGTTCTTCAATTTTAGTTGTGGAGGGCGCCAGTCGCCATCTGGCTGCCCGTCGGCAGCTCGTGGCCTCTAAGCTCAAGGTGCTGTGTTCAATCTTAGTTGCGGGTGGGCAGAGCCACCATCCCATGTGGGAGTCGAACCCAGCAGCCTTGTTGTTAAGAGCGCACGCTCTATCCACTGAGCCATCCGGGTGGCAGCTCAGCTCAAGGTTCCAAGTTCAGTCTTAGTTGCGGGCGGGCATAGCCCACCACCGAACAGGCAATCTTGTTGTTACACCAGCTGAGCCATCCTGCCACCTGTTGGCAGCTCAGCTCAGGCGCAGCATCACTGGCCCATGTGGGAATTGAACCGGTGGCCCTGTTGCTCAGAGCTTGCGCTCTTAAGCTAACTCTTAACCAACTGAGCCACTTGGCTGGCCCAAATGCCCATTTCTAAACCATCACTAGCAAGAGGAATGGCATTACCATTACTGAATGCCACTGGTCTGAATATCTTCTGTTAATATTTTAAGTGGAAAATTCAAGACATTTAAAAGTAGAGTGATAATGAGCCTGTATATACTTATAACTTCGTTTCAAAAATTATCATTTCATGGCTAACCTTGTTTTATCCATAAGCACCCATTTGAAAATACCGCTCTCATCTCTAGATTACTTTAAAACAAATCCCAAGTATTATTTCATTTCAATTGTAAATATTTTACTTTGTAGCTCTAAAGATAAGGGTTCTTTTTAACATAACCACACATGTTACCAACCTAAAAAATTAACCTTTAATCCTTAATATTATCCAAATATACAATGTTGAAATTTCCCTGTTGCCATAATTTTTTTAGAGTTCGTTTGAATCAGGATCTAAATAAAGGCCATACGCCTTGTTACCCTGAGGTGCAGTCCACATAGGAAAGGCAAGGTAGGTACTTGATTCTTTCCCTTTACTTGATAGTCTTCAAAAAATGAATTGGTTCCTGGCTGTGCAGAAAAGAGTCAACAGAGCAGCCCTCAGACTGCAGCCCTCAGAAAGGCCTGCTTGCAGGGTTGGCCCTTGGCTGGCATCTGGGAACTTGGATTTCAGGAGGGTTCCCACCATTCCCAGAATCGGTAAGAGTGGCCCCCTGTGCCTGACCTGTTCATACAAGCAATGTGATTTGTGCTAAACACCTGCTTTGGTCCTTGGAATCTAAAATTTTGGTACATACTAAGGAGAGGCTGCCTGCGGGGCCAGGCCCAGAGAACAACCTTGGATGCTGGATCTCTCAGGAGCTTCCCCAGGAGACAGCTCTCATGTGTTGTCACCACTTCTTACTGGGGTGATTAAGTGTATCCTGTGTGACTCCACTGGAAGAGGGCCTTTGAAAGCTGGTGCCTGGTTTCTTTGGGGCTACGCCTTTTCCCTTGCTAATTTTGTTTTGTATCCTTTCACTGTAATACATCAAAGCTGTGAATACAACTATATGCTAAGATCTGTGAGTCCTCAGCACATTATCTAACCTGGAGGTGATCTTGGGGACCCCTGACAGTTCCCTAGCATTCTTCAAACGTAACCAACTTTTTTTTTTTTTTTAGTATCATTATGGATTTCTTCTCCCCAGATTTAAAATTTTTTAATGTTTTAGTTCAGTGCAGTTACTGATCTTGGCCCATCTTTGATCAATGGGAACCTCCTCTGGCTGGCTCCTGAGTCTTGATATAGCCCTAATAATCTTTGATAGCCTTTTTGTTCTTTGGTATGACAAAAATAGTCCAGGCTCATCTCTGTATTTCTTACCTCAGAGCTGTTTCTTTCTAAGTAAATACAGTAGACACTTGACCAGCACAGGGTTCGGGTGCGGACGTCTCTTGCGGTCCTGCGTAAGCTGCAGGGCCGTGCAGAGGCACGTTGTTCAAGGGTCAGCTGTACTTAGAAACCTTGATCTGAGCATTAGGGCCACTCATTGCTACTGAATTGGTGATAGTTTCTAGATTTTTTTTTTTCCTTTAGACAGAGCTAGGACTTTTTTTTTATAGGTTCATAGTGATATTTCTACTTCATTTTAGGCTATAAGGTTTTTACTTACCCTCCAACAAAACACGACTGTTACCTCTGTTGAATAATACTCTAAAGACGGAAAGAACTGCAAAAAGCCTTCAACTTACCAGTAATATTGCTGGTGGTAGAAATTACTCCAGTGAAGAGTAATTTACTCACTGGAGTAATTTCTTTCTGTGTGGTTATGCCACCAACTCAATACACAGTTAGCGTCCTTTGTTTCATTTATCCTATCCTATCCTTTTTTTTTTTTTTTTGGTGGGAGGAGGTTGCTTTTCTGTTTTAATTTTATGTTATATAAAATCTTTGGGCAGTTCCAAAGTCAAATCTAAAATGAACAAAATGTATTCATGGACGTCTAGCTTCTAGATGTCCACACCCATCTACCCTTCTATCCATGGCCTCTAGAACGGTAAGAGAAAAACTTGAGTTGTCTTAAGCCACTAAGTTTCTGATAATAATTTTGTAAAGCAGCCATAGGGAGCCAGTACAGATGTGGGTACCTGAAGATGGGGTGCCGCTGTAACAATACCTAAAAATGTAGAAATGGCTTTGGAATCGGGTGACAGATAAAGGCTGGAGCAATTTTGAGGCGTTTGATAGAAAAAACTTACATCACCTTGGACAGACTATTTAGTAGTAGAATATAAACATTAAAGGTGCTGCTGGTGAGAGCTCGGAAGGAAATGAGGAATGTGGCGTTGAGAACTGAAGGAAAGGGAACCTTTGTTCCATTGTGGCCGAATTAACTGCTTCTCATTCTGTAGTCATGTGGAAAGCAGAACTGCAAGCAGAAACCCTGCAAACTTGGCGCAGGAGATTTCTAAGCAAAGTGCTGGCCTGGCCTCCTCCTGCTGCTCATAGTAAAACGCAGAAGAAAGATAAATTGAGGGAAGAACAGTTAAGTGAAAAAGGAATCAGCACTTGGTGATTTTGGACTTTCTCAGCCTATTCAGATTGCAAAAGAAGGTAAAATTAGGGGTTTTACTATTAGGAAAGCATACTGTGGAGAGAAGGCCCAAGGGTGTGACTGGATAAACTTTTGCTGCTGCTGAAGAGATTAAACATGTGATTCATGGATCCTCTCAGCAGAAACCAGGAATAGAGATGGAATTCCCAGGAAAGATTTGCGGAGGAGCCTCTTGTTTAAAAGAGTGAATCCCGTGGCATACATGGGACACTCACAACGGTTTTAAGGGTGTTATATTAGCAGAAACAGTTCCAGTTTAAACTGAAAGGGACAAAACAAAATGAAAGAGGCTCTTGGATTCTCAGAATTCTGCAGGTGGGAAACAGGCTGGAGGAAAAGAATAACTTCAGGGACCCAGAGGGCAGAACTGAGGGGGCCACAGAGGATTAATCCCAGGCCTTGAAACCTAAAGGAGACTACTGGTCCGATTTCAGAATTGCTTCGGATTAGTGATTCCTTCCTTCCATGTTCCTTTTGGAATTGAAATGTCTATCTTATTCTGTACCTGTCCTCCATTATATTTTGGGAGCATCCTATATGCACTTTTCTCCACTTTGCGTTTTTCACCTAACATTGTATCCTGGAGTTGTCTCTGTAGCAGTATATAGAGATACTCATTTCTTTTCACAGCTGGAAAGTTCTCCTGTGGATGTACCAAAATTCATTTAAACAGTCCTGTTAGTGACATTTCTGTTACTTTTATTCTTTTGCTATAATATAAATTGCTGTCATGAATAAGCCTGTGCATACTTCTTTTTATATTAATATTTTTGCCAGTGTGTCTCTGGGGTAGAGTTTTACAAGAGGGATTACTGGCTTGGAAGTTTAAATGCAAACACAATTTTGCTTCATAAACCAAATATTTTTTACCACTGCCCACAGTAAGAAATGCATTTTACATCATGACTCAATATATGCACACATGTACACATAACCAAAACAGCTCTCACGATTACGCTACTATCTACAGTCTATTTCGTTTTTAAAATTCAACGTAAATACGGAATGACCTACTGACGGATCAGCACACTTTTTTGAAAGGGCCACATAGCAAAGATTGTAGCCTGTGGGTTATTCATGGACTAGACTCTGCCTCTGCCATTGTAGCCCAAGAACCACAGGCAATAAATTCATACGTAGGCATGGTTGTGTTCCAATACAATTTCATCTGCAGAAACAGGCAGCTTGTAGGTTACAGAACCCTGTTTCGGGCTAATCAAAGTACATGACGTCAGCTTCCCACGAAGCACATGGGTATATGGGAGAAGGTGGTCGCTGAATAAGATCAGGACTTAGGAAGCAGAATGAAGGGGATGCCTGCTGGAGAGGGAGCGGCGTCTGTTCCATTAACCTGCGTGCTCTTCGTCCCCACTTCTGGGGTTAACCATCAGCTGTGCAGATGTCCCTGAATGTGCCTTGAGTGTAAACTATAATATAATACTTGTTTGTCTGTTTTTTAGAGTAGACAGATGGGAATGGTGTCATGTAAGGTCAGTAACCCTAAAGGCTGGACCTTTAGGGGGGACAGTTGCACTGCTTAATTACAGGTGTCAGCCTAGTTACATATTAGTTGATTTGGTAACATAAGATACTTTGAAACCACTTTCCTAAGTCATCAACTAAGATAAGACAGATGGTACTTCTAGATCCCGTCATCATAGTCTCTGACATAACTGGAGGCAAGAATGCCCGAGACAGTGGACTCAGTTAAGCCCAGCGTTGTCTGCAGAAGGGAAAGAGGCTATTGTGTTTTCCCGAAAATAAGACCTAATCGGAAAATAAGCCCTAGTGTGATTTTTCAGGATGCTCGTAATATAAGCCCTACCCCAAACATAAACCCCAGTTAAGATCGTCAGCCAGACATAACTGTTTGAATAAATGTAGAATTTTGTACATGAATAAATGTAGATTGTTGGAGGAAAAAGAATGTAAGACCCGGTCTTCCCCTGGGAGATGCCTCTCTCTGGGCCAGTCTGAGCTCCTTGGAAAAAGTGGGTCAAGGACAAAGCCAAGGGGTAAAAGGGTGGCCAGAAAAAATGGAGCAACTGGAGGGAAGTAGAAAGACTCTGCAAAAGGAGAATTCACAGATAGGAAACGATCCAAGACTGACTGCTCCAACCCCCAGGAGCTGCTCTTCCTCTAATATCTCTTATTAACAAGAGTCTTCCTCTGTGTTCTTCAAAGTATTTCTACATGTGTCTCATAGCAGTAGCAAGCATCAGAGAAAAGAGCCAAATGGAATTGGCTCATCTTGCAGATGGGAAAAGTAAACAGCTTGACAGGTTCTTCAAGAGGAGGGGGTGGGGCGGACAGTAGGAACCCCAGGCTCCCGAGTTAAGGCGCTGCTTGTGGTCCAGGTCTGATGTCATCACCAAAGGCTAGCGGGCAGTGGCTTTTCTGAACAGCCGCCGCCCTCCAGGGCTCCTTGGCAGTGGGACCTCGTCACCTTAACCTCTCACCTAACACGGCCCTCTTTCTCCTCTAGATTCTTTGTGGGAAGGAGATTCCTCGCTGGATCAATCGACTCGCCTACTTCAGCTCCTGTATCCCCTTCCTCCAGAGCTGCCTCCCTAAGGAGTGGCTCACGCCCGCAGCGCTGCAGTCCAGTGTGAGCCAAGAGCTGCAGGACGAACTAGAAGAAGCTGAGGACGCGGTGGCGTCCGCTTCCATGGCCAGTGCAGCAGCAGGCACCCGGCCTGGGCGCCACACGAAGTTATAAACGTCTCCAAAGTCACACATTCAGAACTGTCTCTGGCAGCTGAGCATCAGAGAGAAAAGGAGAACAGTAAGCGTCCTTCGGCTATTTCATATGCAAAGATGGCTCTCCCCCAAACCCTAGTTTTTCAGCTCAGGATTCTCTTTGTAATCAACTCACTTGGCGCCGGAGGGAGAACTTCCTATGAAGCCGCCCTCTGTTTTTTTTACCCACTTGTAAATTTGGATTTACTTCTGTTTTATACAAACTCGGTTAAGTTATGTTTACAGTATTTTGTATCGCTGTTTACAAATCTTGCATGGACTCCTGCCACCGTGAGACAAGAAAACCTTCACGTCTTTAAAAACGAGGCAGGTAATCTTTGTACACTCCTGACAATTGCCAGAACTATGGCATAAATACTAGGCACACAAAAAGGTACTTAACGCAATTATAGTCACCTCACCTGCTTAAGAACTGTTGTGTAGGTTTGTGTTTGTTTTGTTAAGGTTTTGGCACCAGGATGCAGAGAGGTGAAGGAGCACACACAGCCCCAGGGCTCGGGACCTTGGTCTGCAGGAAGGTGGCTCGGCTCTGGGTCTCGCTCCTCTCAGCACTCCACGCCTCCCACTCCAGGTAGCATGTCTCCTGAGGTTCCCGTCGGACTGTTGCTTTCATCCCAGTTGTCCATCCACCCACACAGGTGGTACATGATTGTGTCCGTCTGGCTTCGATGCCTGATTCTGTAATTAAGATGTTTTTCATATATTCTTGCTAGTAACTGACGAGTGGTTTTGCACATGTGTTGGGGGGCTTCATTTTTATTTTATTACATACTGATATCCGCCCTGCACAGGATTTTATTGATGGGGTAGGAATATCCTAAATGGTAGCCTTGTGAGGAGCAGGATGAGTTGACATTCAACTGCTTTTAACTATTCAGGCTACCTTTTATACTAGACCTTGAAAACTAGTCTAAAGTAATACACTCCAAAAAAGGTAATTCTTTGATATTTCAGATATTTTATGTACCATATCAGAAACAGTATGTTGAGTTTGTCACTTTGTTATGAGAGCATTTTCATCTCATAATAGAAAGCCTAGCTAGCCTCATCGACCCCTTGTCTAAAAATCACATTTGTGTGTCTTAGAATTCATCCTTTTCTGTTCTCTCAAATGTATGTCTCTTACATAACATACTCGAAGGACAAAATTGTCACCACAGCTAAGTCCTCATTAGCAAGGAATCTGTCTGGTCAAGTCTACTCCCAGTTTGACCCTTGGATGAAAGAGCCAAGTCATTACATGTCAAATTCAATTTTTCTGCCTTAAGAATGAATGTCCTATGTAAAATATTGGATGCAGTGTATAAATTACCCAAGGCAGTGACTTCAGCTTTATATATATTGTTAGTTTTAAAGTCATCTACTTTTATTTAAACTTCTAGATTGGATTGTTTGCTATTCTCTTTATAAAGATACATATCTGTCAGTAAACTACATTTTTAACTTTTCCATAAACTGATTTTGATTCATTGTATCAACTTAAGCACACCCTGTTCATAGGGAAAACACACCTTGTGTTATGAGCATTGACCTGAGGAAAATGAAGCCACTTCACCTAATTTATGCTTTTGACTGTTGTTTCTGGAGAGGAAAGCCTTTACAAATTATGCTCAGTTCTTTGGGGGGACAGAGCGCTTGTTTGAAGAGATGTGACGGAAAGAAGAAAGGGATACATGTGATCTTTATGAAAAGTTGACTCGGTTCAGGCCTAAAAGATGAGATTTAGAATAAAACACTAAGATGCTAGCAGTGAATTTGTTCTCTCAAAGAAGGGTCTTATCACCAAAACCCAGGCTAGTGAAAAGTGTTTGATGCACTTTGCTTGGGTTATTTGTTTTTGTTTTGTTTTTTTAATAATGTGGTAGATGACAGCTTTTTCTAATACATTCACGTGTACACGACTTAAACCTGGGCTGCTGACACACATAAAGGAGTGGCCCACCATTCATCAGACACTTCTTGGTGAAAAGCCAGGAACGTGCCATCTGTGCAGATCCAGAATCCAGCACCTCCGCACACAACCATTTTAATTTGTTGTGTTTACTTTGATCGGCAGTATTTGGCGTTTTAAAAGCGTGTAAAGGGTCCTAGTAGAAATAAGTCATGGCCTAAGGCCAATGAACATACTAATAATCAGCAGATAAAATTCTGGATGTGAGATTGTTTCAGGTTGAGAAATAAAGAAATTACTTTAGAAAATTTCATTTAACTCAGTTCCTTCTCTGCAGTTCAAAATTGAGAATGGGTGTCATTACCCAGCATTTAACCTGCTTCCAACCTGATCTCTGTTAAGAAAAACCCTGTATCAAAAAGCTGGTCATTAAGATACATGTGATAGGATGGAGTCGTATTCTCTTCGCAGTTATAACCAAGTGAAGCACATTTCTCATGGGGGGTTGGAAAGTAATATAGTGTTAGAGAGGCAGAAGCTGCTGGTTTCTACCATTTGTTTTAAATGCTCTTTTTTTGTTGTTTTTTTGTTTTTCAACCCTAAGAAGGGGGCATCAGCTTTGGGAAGTATGGCGTATGAACTGTAGCAGGCGGTGATGTGGTAGTAAAGAGAGCATCCTACTTGATGCCTGAAATCCAGCCCACTATTGCTCTGACCCATAGCAGTAGCGCAAGTTACCTTCACCAGCATTTGTGCAGCACAGGGAGCTCTGGTCTTGGCCAGCTGCGAGCATGGCGTGTGTGCAGAGAGCCGACGCTACAGACGGCTGCACGACTCTGTCCATCGCTTCTTTCCATCACTACACGGGTAGCAACACGGTCACCGCTTCACGGTTCTAATCGGTGTGTCTTCTTATGGCTCCCTTTCTGTAAGCTGCTCTGTAATTTTGATACATGCTGTGTTTTCTTTCAGTGACTAAATTTAACAGACTTGGGTTTTGTTCAGCGAGCTGGCCGTACCGCCATTGTAACCTCTTGTCTTCAGTGTGGTTTTAGCGTGCACTCCATCCTTAGACTCCCGTTGTCTGCTCAGTCAATGCACATCCATCTTCACTGTTGGAAAGGTGCTACAGCTGTTAAAGAACCTTCATGAACCTGAAGACAAATCCTTGTGAAGTTGAATGCAAATGTACTGTCATTCATAGTGTTTATATAAAAAATACCAGGACTCTTCACTTTTGCTACCTTGATAATAGCATTGGGCTATCATGTTAACAACATTGAAATACATCAATTTATTAAAAAATACTTTTATAAGAAATAGTCTCTAGTGCTGTCTGACCTCCAGGAGACGGCAACTGTTCTGTTTCTGTGCTGGGGGTGGGAGGTTACTTTTAAAACCCAAGACTCCCATCTGCTCTGGAGACACAGCCGGCCCCACCCCATCATGTATTCCTCTCGTATTCGCATGTACGTTTCTCACATGAATTCCTCTTGAGCTCAAGTCCTTGGGCCAACTCCATAGGCGCCAAGGAGAGCATAACCACACCCCCTCCCAGGCAGTGGGTGCCAGCCCCGGCTTCCGGGGAGTGGAGGCGAGGCTGCGAATAGAAAATGCTCTCTCCCCTGCAGAGGAAAAGGCCCCTTGCACACACACACTCCCCATCGTAAAGCATCAGCGTGCAAGAGCCTGTTTCTCTTCCGGAAAGCACCTCTAACCCTTCCCCTTTGTCCTCCATTGACCCTCTTGCACCTACCTAGTCAAGTAATATTTCCCCTCAGGAATTCAAAAACGTCTCTGGAATTAAGTATTGTTAAATAAATGGTGGCGGTCTTTTGTGGTCACTCCCTATTTGCTCTCTGCTAAGTAGGAGTCACCTACAACTCATTTGTTCTCACCTCAGGGACAGGCAGGCACCAAAGGGGGACTTTTCCCCCATTCTAGATAGGTTCCTACTAGGTGAGTTGGTCACAAACTCAGATCTGGTTGAGCAACTGGTCTTCCGTGCAGAAAGGATGCCAAATACACTGAGGGACAGTCTCTTTTTTTTCCATTATTATCTGCTCCTGAAGTTCACCTTATCCAAATATTGGCCTTCTTCTAAGTTTGCAGAAGTCTGTGCTAAAAAAGATGAATGGCTTCATGCTGTACTTTTTAAGAAGTAAACTGGTGGCAGGCAGCTACTTACTTCCTTATGTATTCTGAACCCAGAGAAACTGCTGAGCTGTCCCAAACCTGCCCTTCTGGTCTTTTCCCCAAGAGGAATACCCTCCCAGAGAGGATCACACCTTGGGCCTACACTGGGAAGTGTCAATAGTTCCCTTCTGGTCAAGGCCAAGGGGAAAACTAAACGTTCAGAAGGGCCTCTTCTCAACTTGGCTCAGGGAGGCATTCACGTCCAGAGGCTAGACGGGCACCTGTGCTCTGCAGCCCTGCCCCGACTGGGAGGGCTCCGTGGTCCCAGCTGAGAATGTACAGTTCCCATGCTGTTGACGAGTGGAGTAGAGCCATGTGCTCTACTCACTCCAGAACAGTTCCCCACAAATATAAAAGAGTTGTCCCCTTAAGTCTGGAAAGGCAGTGAGTCTTGTGGACAAGACAGAGGAGAAAAGGGGAATCCTCGTATTATGCCCCTGCTCTGTGCTCCGGGTGGCCTGTGACATTCCTGCTTTACACAGAGTTGGGTGGTTATTCGCCCAAACCCACACAAGTGGCATAGGAAAAACCCGTAATTGAACCTAGTCAACTGCAAAGCTTCTATTCTTTCCATTCAAGCATTCTGCTTTTCTGAAATGGAAAAATCCCGCGCCCATCCCAAACCTACTGAGTCAGAATCAGCATTTTACTCTATCCCCACGTGATTTTCACATGGACATTCAAGTTTAAGAAGCACAGCTCTGTCCCATAGGACTCAATTCCATATGGTTGAAGTCTACTCTGCCCATAGAAATGAGAATTTCCTCGACAAGGTCACTGTCAGGCAGCCTGGACACATGAATGTCTGAAGGACCTGGTAGTTATAAATCCTCATCCCAAATGCAATAGGTGTGGTATGGTTTTCTGACGTCTTCCTGGGTTTTACCGCTCCACATAAATTATTCATGGAGTACTCCAACAAGCATGAAGCATAAACTTGAACCCTCTGGAGGTGCTGAAAGTCGTTCCCTAGAAGCCACTGATCCATGCACTGAGGAGTCTGGACAATTGTTTGAATTATCTTCCTGTGAGAGGCCACTAGGACTACACCCATCACACACAGCCATCCCTATTTACTTGAGTCAGCACCGGAAGTCCAAGGTCCCACTGATCCATCCCCAACTACTTTGAGCATTCCCTCCTTGGGCCAGGCCCCGCTTCCAATGTGCCCTCTGGAACTCCCAGTCTGGGACCATCAAATGCACCCACAGCCTCCACTTTTTCAAATTCTCTTGACCTATCTGCCTTATGAGAAACGCGGCTTTCCCCTGAAGGTGTTCTGTCCCCCAGCGTATGTACCCCCACCGTCTCCCATTGCTACTTCCAAATAACATCCCCTCTTTCCTTCCAAACTTCGAGCTCCACTGAAACCCATGCTATCCATTCTACCAGCTGCACCCCTCATTGCCCCCATCTGCTTCCGTTTCTCCTGCTCTGTCTTCCTCTACCCCTCTTCCCGTCATCATTCTTAGTGACATCATACTCATACAGATGACCCATCCAATACCCTAGCCCAGTGTTTCTCAACTGGGACTCTGGCCATTTGAAGTGGGACGCTTGTGCTAGACAGTCCTGCCATTACATGGCATGGCGGCTCTACACCCTGTCCACTAATTACCAACGTTGTACCCCTTCCACAGTCCATCAAATGTCCCCACACATTTTGCCCCCAGGGGGTAGGCAGTCCTGTCCTTGGTTGAAAACCACTGTCAGCACCCGTCTCTTGATCTCACTTCCACCTCACTTTTGCCACGCACTCAAACCTTGGACTTGTCATCACCAGTAACTGCTAAAATCTTCATTCCAAGCCTCTCTGCCCGCCACCTAACTTCCCAGCTCACCAAGTACCCCACACCACAAGTCTTTGACCTTATCAAGATCCCAAAGCCATCAAATCTAGCACTTGTTTTACTAACATCAGCTCTCTTCCCCCATCTTCATTTTTCTCCTCACCCAGCTTAAATTCCGTGGTCACTAAATCATGTCCTTCTCACAGCCCTCCACGTCTGTGTCCCTTTCTCCCTTTACCATCATGACGCGGCAGCCCCAGCCCTGTTCAGACCAGACTTCTCTGTGCCTGCGCCTGACTGGATGAATGTTGCTGAGCAAAACCACACGACTGGGCTGACTGGTTTGAGCTGGGCATTCCTGTCCATAAACCTCAAAAGGGCTCTGGGCACCACACCACAGATTACTAGAGTTCCCTGTGAGTCTGCCTTCCCACCCTCCCGGTGACACTTCAGACCTTCCTTCCCTTCAAATCCTCCCTGTTTCCCACACACCTTTCAGTTCAGAACCTCACTATACGCGTCACTGAAAATATAGAGACAATTTAAGCAGTTCACCTCTGTATTAGGGGGGGAAAAACCCAGTTCTTCCTCCTCTGTTTCTCTTTTACTTCCATACAGAACATTTCATTTCTGACACTTCTAGTCACCAAATGTGTGGGGGTTTTCCCCACAACAAGCAATTGTCCACAAAACCAGATGGGAGTTCTAACTCGATTTAACACTCTTGCTGGAGAGGGCATCAGATTTCACAGGTTAAGGGCTTAGTTCCACCAGACGGTCCCCCACTTCACATGCTTATCTCAGGTAGGAGGTCCCCAGGTTACACACAACTTCTGTCCAATGTGGCTGTAAGTCACAGGTTCCCACAACCCCCTCCTCAGGTTCAATGAATTTGCTGGAGCGGCTGACAGAACTCAGGGGACACACGTTTACCAGTTTATTACAGGACATGATAGAGGACACTGATGAACAGCCAGATGAAGAGACACCCAGGACAAGGTCTGAGAGAGTCCCGAGCACAGGAGCTTCTGTCCCCATGGAGTTGGGGCGTTGTCACCCTCCCAGGACATGTATGTGTTCACCCACCTGGAAGCTCCTTGAACCCCACACTACTGGGGTTTTATTGAGGCTTCCTCACATGGACGCGATCGCTTATAACTCAATTCCAGCCCTTCTTGGCTCTCTGGAGTGGGGTGAGGGGCACCCTGAAAATTCCAACCTTCTAATCATGGTGTTTGGTCTTTCTGGTGACCAGCCCCCATCTAAGAGCCCACCCAGAGTTGCCTCCGTGGAACAAAAGATACCCCTAGTGCTCTTATCACTGAGAAATCGACAAGAGTTTGAGGAGCTCTGTCCCAGGAGCTTACCACAGGTGACTAACTTATTAGCTACTTAACCCATCTTACGAGTTTTCTCTATAACTTCCTTCCCCACCTGGACACTTGGGGCCTGCCATCAACTTCGCAGAGAATCCCAGTTGCTGACGTGGTGGGACAAGACAGGAAATCTCTAGTCTAGCCCCAGCCCTGACACGTGGGACAAGTTCATTTCCCCTCTGAGCCCCAGTGTCCTCTTATGTAAAAGGAGAATACTGCTAGGTCAGTGTAGATGCACATGCAGCTTGCAGACTTTGGGCATAGACTTGGGAAAGAGCCAGCCTGGCCCAGGAGGTGGGCCTGGGAGAGAGAAGAGGAGGCTAGCCCGTGGCCCACTGAGGCTTTTCCTCGACGGCTCCCACCCCACCACGGTGCTCCCCAACATGGAGGCCTGGGAATCATCTGGGAAGCTTAGAACACAGGTTCCCATAGGCATCACCTTGTAATAGTCTGAGCCAATAGATCCTGATGGAGGCTAGGAATATGCATTTCTACCAACACTCCAGGTGGTTCTGACTCAAGTGTCTGCCAACCATACTTAAAGGAACACTGGCTTAAGGAGGGATGGAGGGAGGGGTTTCATCAGCAGACACAGGAAGATCCTTCCCCTGGATCTCTTTATACCGCCCTGTTTGGGGCTATTTCACCCCAAGCTCTCTCTCTGGTCAAGTAGCGTGGGCCAAGAATGAAGTCAGACCCTTACTGTATGCCATTGTCAAAGATAAACAAAGCTGGACATTAAAATGATGAAAATAGGTTTTATTCAATAACTACTGACAGTGGGGGAAAGGGCAGAGCTCCATTCGTCTTTGCACAGAGGTGAGTGGGTGTTTTAAAAGGAGAACGGGGGTGGGGGTGGAGGTAGGTCAAGTGCAAATTTATGAAGGGTTGGTCAGAGTGAAGGTGATTAGGCCAGCTGTGCCTGCTAGCTGGCAATTATCGAAGTTAGGATTCTGTC